TGTATTAAAAAAGAGGAGCAGAAGGAATTGCTTCCCTGGTGCCATAGAGAAATTCATAGAATAGATTTAAAGCATACTGGATAGAAGTGTAAATCGGCAGTCTCTATTTAAAGGTACTTGGTTTTGACATATTTTGTAACAATGACTTTTCTCGTGATTTTTGTTGCTAGTTAGTAGAAAACAAATAACCCCCAAATACATATTTTAGTTCTCTTCACGCTAGTGATAAAGGCTTATGACAGCATCAGCATTTCTAACAAGTTTAAAGGACACGAGGATAAAATAGTAGACAGCATTCCAGATTTCTCAGTAGGAAAATGTAAATCTCCTTAATTTTATTCTTACTGAGCCATGGCAACTGAGGTATTGTATTTAGATGTGAATTATTAACTAGCATGATGATGATCCGAGTAGGCTATATGTTATATGGATCAACAAGTTTGCATAATCCCAATACCTTTTCAGAAATTACCATTCTAGTCCATGTATGTGTGATAAAGGGAAACTATTTCAAGAGTATTATGCCTTTTATTCTTAAGTGCCTGTCAAGGAAGACTACGAGATTGGGGAATGGAGGGATTGCTGTTTAAATTAAGTGAAATCTTCTAGCTTTAGACTGTCCAATGTAAGTGTGTTGAAGTATTGAAATAATAGTCATGTCTAAAAAACTGAGCAAAGTGTAAATAGGATGTGAGAGTATAGGGAGGTCAGATACTGTGTTATTACCATTAGCACGATTTATCACCTTCTTTGGAAAATGTTTTTGAAATGTATTTAACTGTCAGCTCAACTCATTATCAGTTGTAAAAAATCTTGAGACTGAGTTTTTGCCTTTTTTTTTTTAAAGCAAGTGGATACTGTAAAGAAATAAAAAGGCAGTTGGGAGCTTCAAGAAGAGATATTATATCTGAGATAAATCTCTTTTCATCTCTTAGAATCCGAAGTGTTTGACAGTAACTAAAGGATTTGGGGCTGAAGAAGGACAGATTAGAAATAACAGTGAAGCACAAAGCAATAGTAAAGAATGCTCTTGGTTCAGAAGTCTCACAAAGGCAATGATAATGTCAGATGTAGGTGCTGCTTATGGAGACTTTGATGATACCCTGCAGACATGGGGATCGAGTTGGAAAACCAGCACTGTCACCTTGCTGGGCTAATTTGGTGTCAGAACTGGCATATGGTGCCAAGTGATGCACTGAGGAGTGGTTCTTCACTCAAGAATAGCTCCTGGCTAGAATCCTCAACTTCTCTCTCCCTACAACTGCCAAGGTATTCAGAGGAGTAATCAGTTAAAAGTACCAGGTTTGTTTCATCATTTTCCATTAGTATGTTGGATAAAAATGTTAATATTTCAAGATAATGTTTTTCATGAAATGTTATCTGGAGTAACTCTCATTTGGGTAACTGCTACAAGCAGCCATATGTATAAACAGCTTCTATTCCTGCTTAATCTTAGGGAAATACGTAGATTTTTATTTATTTATTTATTTATTTTTACTTTATGTCAGTAGGCCAGATTCAGCTGTGACTAATCAGATGGACTAGATGATTTGGGCCATGGGATTGCAGAAATTGTTAGAAAGATCATATGTGTATGTGAAACAAAGGCTGGAATTTCTTGCTCTGCCCCTATTTTCTCTAAATTTAACCAAAGAAAATATTCTACTTATTTTAGGGAGTTAGAAAAGAACTTCACAAGTTTCTCTCTCTTCTTCCAAAGTCTTCTGTGTTAATCAGCAGACTAAGGGATGGTTCCCGTGAATGAGGCTATTCCCACACAGTTCAAATGAACAGACTCCATCCAACATTGTTTTATTAAGTTAAAGGTTTTATTCTTGAGAGAGCTGGAAACACAACTCCTGATGAAAAGCAACTCAAGTATCATTAATTTGTCTTGTAAAAGATGAGCTAATTTGGTTGCTACTTTTCTATTTCATTTGGAGCCTCCTCTTAGGCTAGTCGTGCCATCGTAACTGGTATGAGTAGATTTCCTGATGATTGTTTTTGATGAACTTACTGGAGTTGTAAATTTGTTTTTACTTAAGATCTGGTAGCAAGTCTTGTTTTTAATTTGCAGCACAAGCTGATTGCATAAGTATAATTGTGAAGCTCTTTGACATGTGAAATACAATTTAGTTTGTATTCTTGTACAGTTTTCAACTGCAAGAAACAAAATCTGTTAGTAACAGTTTTAGAGGGAGTCAGTGGAAGGTTCTTTTTCATAGTTTGTGTTTCATCTCCTGGAGACTGAAAAATGACAATCTTGCAAAACTCTTTGAATAATTCACATTATTGTATAGCTGAGCTGTATGGTATGTTAATGTAAATAGCTTTGATATTTTCAGGGAAAAAAATCCAGAAAAAAAAATGGCAGTACAGAATCAAAGAAACAGAATATAGTGCTGACAGAAGCTAAGGAAGTTTTTAAAAATATCTGAATTGTAACAAGTAGCCATTAGGATGTCTTACAGAAAAATATATATTTTCTTGAGAACTGATTAGAAAATGTGGAACTTAACAATTATACTGATAGAGAGCTACTTTTTCTCTGGAAGGTTAGAAGCACTGAGTTGACAGAGTTTGCCCACAGATCCTGGGTATTTGTGGAGGAGGCTCTGTCTTGCCCATGCAGGCAGCAGCCGTATTCAGGCTGTCCTGTTTCGGTCACTCTGCTGGAATTTTTCTGGTAATGTGGCGCTGACCGTCACTGATTGATTCTTCCCGTTGTGCAGTAGCAAGGAGGCTAAAGGCAACATTAACTCCTGAGTAGCTTTTTTTCTTTTTTCTTTTTTTTTTTTTGTGAAAATGCCACAGAATAAGCAGATGATAACATTGTAGAGTAGAGTAAGAGGAAAGTGAACTGGCAGAAATACATATTCAAACGGCAATACAGATAAGTAGTTAAGAAGTATTAGAGATTTTAGAGTAATAGCGATGGCGACACAGGTGTGACTGTCATGAGTTCAGAGAAAGTCTAACCAATGGTGCAATGTCAGTGAAGTAACTGGATGATCAAGAGTAATTCTGAGGATTCAAGGTCTTTGAGGCTCATGGAGAGCAGATGATTTTGAACGAAGCTGCGTTGTTTACAATTATGGGTCTTCTTTAAGCTGTTACCAAAATGTCTAAGTGATGTTTACTCCTTGTAATTACTTCCACAGAATTGCTGTAAGTTACGGGACTGTATATAATATAACACGGGACTGTAAAGGATGACTTTGGTTCCCCACAGTCACAGGCAACTGTGAAATAATGCCTGCCCTGTTCCAGCCTGGGGAACAAACCACAAGCCACAAAACATTACTTCAACACCCTGCAAAGATCTAAGCAGAACTAACGAAGTGCCGAAGACCAAAGCCCACAGAACAAAACTGGGTGCCTTAAGACAAGAACACGACAGATTAAGGGGACCACTAGTGTTTCAGGTTCCTGCAGTTCCTAAACCTGCCTCAAATCATGGTTTTAATACTAAGGCAAACAAATGCTTGAAAACCTCCTGATTACCCAGCTTTGAACCCTGCCTGCTGCTGCATTCGTAGCTGTGAGCAGTCTGATGGTTCAAAGGTAAACCTCCTCCCTCCCCACCTTGGCACCAAAAATCAACTGTGTATGACAAGGCGAAAACATGTTTTTGTGGCGCAATGCCAGACGCTATGCCCTAAGGAAAGACTGTCTCTGAAGCCAAAATGATGTCAGTTTGGTCATTCTCATATGAAGAATCAGCTTTGCTGCGGTTCATTCTGATAAAACTTTGCTATGTTTAAAACCAAAGCAAACTGTTGCTTGTTTTAAATCCGAGTACATCAATTTAGTAATGCAGTAGTTCATATTCAAGGGCTGCTCTCACTTGAGCTTTTGAGCAAGTTCAAGAATGTCAACTGCTGCAAAAATTAAATGCAAAAAAATTCTCAAATGGCAATTGCTGGTTATTCACAAGGTAAAAAAGTTTTAAACATATTTATTCTGTTTATACTGTATTTCAGATTTATTGTGTGTGCAATTGTTTTGTGTGAACTCTGAGTATGGAAGTCTTTAATAAGCCAGGGAGTTTGTGCGTGTGGAGGTGTGGAAGTCTTTAATAAGCCAGAGAGTTTATGCGTGTGGAGGTGCTGGGGAGGCAGGAGCGGGTGCAGGAGACAGGTCCCATGATGAGGGGCCAGCGGGAGGGCTGATGCAAAATGAGCGTTTTGAGGATGAAGAGAGAAGCGGCGGCCGAACGCGGTGGTTGTTGCTGTGCCGGCATCGCAGTTAATAGAGGAAATGCCTCACCCAGGCTGTGGCTGTCAAAGTTGAGGAGAAACCTTCTAGAAACAGTGCAACTGAAGTACGCCAGAGCCGCAGCCTCGGTTTCAGGAACTGCTTCCTGATACCGCTGCGCATTTTGGGGACGCAGGTGGAGCCGGGGGCGCTGCCGGGCCCTGCCGTGCGGGGGCAGCGGGACGGGGCCGCGAGTGAAGTTGTTGAGCGCGGCCGGGCCGGGCCCCGCCGGCGGCCAC